CAAGAACAAGCAAGTTGCTTGCCCAGGAGACATCAAACCAAGTGGTCGGGTCCCCTTAGGGCAAACCCCCTTCCAAAACTAAGACTCAGTGGGAATACACGCTCTGATTGGCGACCATGTTTGTCACTGATAAGGGGAAGTGAGGGAAAAACAGCAATGAAGTGGTGAGCTAAGCCCTACAATGTCCAATAGACTCCTGTGAAGCCGGGTGGAGACCTGGCTGGCCAGCAGTGTGGTAAGATCTGGGGACTCTTGGGCCCAGAGTCAGTGACGTAGTCACAGAGGACTAGAGTGGACAGTGAAGCATCCAGCTGATAAGAAGAGAGGGCATATGCAAAGGACACTCACACTTGCAGATATTACCCACTTGGACCTGGCTTCAATGACTGGATGATCAGAGCTCAAATAGAAGAACAAAGAAAAGGAAAAAAAGAGTAATCTGATACAATTTGATGAACTTGACCTACACCTATGGATGCAGTAGCTCAAAAGAGGGAACAAATCTTTACAGTGAAGATCAATCCCACCCCATCCATACATGGAGAGGACAGGGATGGGCAACTTGGACATTGGCTACCCAAAATGGGGGGCTACAAAGGAGAAGTGACTGGCTTACAAGCTTTCAAGAGGGAACCTAGATCCAGAGGGTGCGGAGGAAGGTAGAGTCTCCACTGAGTAGTATCCAGTCTGTCTGGGCAGGGCTGATGAAAGGAGATACGAATAGATCTCTTGTGGTGTAATAATGAACAGTTGTTATCAGGACTGATTTTGAGGGTTGGAAATGTAAAGGTGTAGACATTGTGTAGCAAAAGAAGGGGTATGACTGACTTTGCAGTCTAGGAATGGAGGGCCCTGGGACCATCTAGGGAGAAGAGCGGAGAGCGGAACCCTATCCAGAGAAGCAGTGATGCCTGAGATGGAGGCAGAGACAATGACGTGAAGAGAGGGAGAGGGACTGTGTGCTGATGACTGGGGGGCAGGCTTGCAGGGTATACCCTTTGGTTGTTTGATGATGCATGGAGGGGATTGTAACCATGGCAATGAAGTGGTGAGAAAAGATAAATGATAGGATGAATGTAAAGCTAATGTTCTCCCATGTAAACTATCACATTATTTCACAGTAAAACATTAAAAAATATATACTACAACAACAACAACAAAATAAAGGTTCTGTAAAAATGATGTTTAACCTGGAAGTTTAGTAGGTTGTAATGTTGGGCTGCTAACCACAAAGTCAGCAGTTCAAATCCAGCAGCCACTCTGAGGATGAAAGATGAGGCTTTCTGCTCCCATAAAGACTTACAGCTTCAGAAACCCTAACAAGGTCGCTGTGAGTCAGAAGCAACTTGGCCCACAACCACCATCAACCAAAGGTGATATTAAGTGGAACTTGTACATAGACCAACAGTCAGTCGTTAGAACAGAACAGAGGGGCACAGAATGGTTTAACATCAGGAAAGGTGTGTGCCAGGCTTGTATTCTTTCACCCCACTTATTCAGTCTGTATGCTGAACAGATAATCTAAGGAGCTGGATTATATGAAGGAGAACGTGGCTTCAGGATTGGAGGAAGACTCATTAACCACCTGCAATGTGCAGATGATACAACCGTGCTTGCTGAAAGTGAAGAGGACTTGAAGCACTTACTGATGAACATCAAAGACCACGGGCTTCTGCATGTGTTGTTTCCTGTTACGTGCTGTCGAGCCAGTTCTAACTCATAGCCACCCTCTGTAGGTTTTTTGAAGAGAACCTGGTGGTACCAAACCACTGGCCTTGTGACTAACAGTCCAATGCTTACCGTACAATGCCACACCAGGACCTCTTACTAAGGATTACACCTTAACGTAAAACAAAATTCCTCACAACTAAACCACACAAAACATCATGGTAAACGGAGAAAAGCTCTAAGTTGTAAAGGATTTCGTTTAACTTGGATTTACAGTGAATGCCCAGGAAAGCAGAACTCACTGAATCAGATGACAGATTGCACTGGGCAGATCTGCTCTTCAAAACTTTCAAGTGTTAAAAAGCAAAGATGTCCCTTTGAGAACTAATGTGAACCTGACCCAAATCATTGAAATTTCAGTCACCTCAGATGCATGTGGGGTACACGGTGGCTCCATACAATAAGCACTGAACTGCAAACCACAAAAGTCCGTGGTTCTAGCCCGCCAGCCCGCTCAACGGGAGAAAGATGAGACTTTCTGCTCCTGTGAAGGTTTATAGCTTTGGAAACCCTACATAGGGTTGCTGTGAGTTGGAACCAACTCTGTGGCATTTAACAATAACAACATATTCATGTGAAACTTGAACAATGAATAAAGACCAGAGAGGAACTTACGCATTTAACGTATGGTGTTGGAAAAGAATATTGAATATACCGTGATCTGCTAGAAGAATGAAGAAATCTATGTTGGAAGAAGTACAACCAGAGTGTTTCCCAGAAATCAGGATGTTGAGACTTGGACGTGCTGTCAGGAGAGAGCTGTCCCTGAAGAAGGACATCATGCTTGGTAAAGTGGAGGGTCAGCACAAAGAGGTTGACCTTCAAGGAGATGAACTGGCGCAATGGCAGTAACAGTGGGCTCAGTGTAATACCAATGATTATGAGGCTGGCACAGAACTGGGCAGTGTTGGCTTCTGTTGTACATTGGGTCACTATGAGCTGGAATGGATTCAATGACGCCAAACAACAAATGATATCTCTTGTTCCATGGAGACCTCAAGGTCAGTGGTTCAAGCTCACCAGCTGCTCCTCAGAAACCCTATATAGGGTCGCTATGGGTCGGAGCCGACTTGATGGCACTTAATAACAACAAGAGGTGATACGAAAGATTTTCCTTGGCCAAGTGGGTTTTGTAAATTTAAGAAATGTTAGCCTATTTTGTGTATTTTGTCAGTGAGACTTTCTCAGATACGTACAAAACGTTCCATAATCCTCTTGTGGTTGTTGAGCGCTTTCCAGTCAATTCCCATTCACACACAGAACAAACTCAGTGTGAACCATCCTGAAGGGTTTTGTTGGCTTCTGGAAGCAAATCACTAGGCTTTTTCCCACAGGGGCATTGGGTGGAATTCAGTCACCAACCTTCGACTAGTTACTGAGTCTTTCTTATGCCCCGGCTCTTCTTTAGGTGGTCTCTGAGGCACGCAATAGGTAAGGAGTGAGGTATTTAACACAGTAGATGCGAGCAGAGGACCTCCGCTCTACTTGCCCGTAGACCCACTGTGGAAACACCAAACATTCTGAGGGCCGTAAGGTAACACCTGGAGAGCTCGCCGAATTTTGTCTGGTTCTGTGTTTGCCCAACTGAGGGGCACATGGCTTAGTCTTTGTTTCTTTTTAGCATTTTATTGAGAATTGGGTGAAGGCTTACTGAGCAGCTCATTGGTTTTCCATTCCACAATTCATCCACACTTTATTCCGTGCCATTGACCGAATCCCCACAATGCAACCTCACCCATCCCACTTCCTCCTGTGTTTTCTGTTTCCATCCCTTCTGCTTGCCTAACCTTTCTGGACTTCATCTGGAGTGCATGCTGCCCTTTTGAGCTCGAATGGTTGATTTTCTTCTAAGGCGTGTGTACCTCCCTAGTGTTACTGCTCCTAGGGTGAATCTGTCGTTTGGCTGAAAATTGAGTTCAGTTCCAGACCTGTGGGACAGATGGAGGGGTTCCACCAGCCTCTGTCTCTTGAGTTTTGTTCCACACTTTTCTCCCACTCCTTCTAGGCCCTTCTAATAGGATCCCTTGCCCAAAGCTGGTCATGTGGCTGGGCCCATCTAGTGCTGTGGCCTCAGGGCGGTGAAATCGACATTGCACAAGGTTCAGTAGGCCATTGGACTAATGTTTACTAGTATCCCCAGCTCTCTTCACCTGTCTTTGCTCTGGACAGGAAGAGACCAATTCCTGATGGGCATGTTTTAGATTGATATTCTTTAACGTTTTCAGTCAAGTCTTGATGACATGGAGGAACTTGCTACAACATGGAGGAACTTTGATAACATTATTCTGAGTGAAATAAGTCAGTGACAGCCAGACAAATATTTACGGTTTCATTTCTGTGAACTTTCTAGGATCATATGAAAGGTGGGCGGTTTGTGTCCACCCAGCGACTCTGTGGAGAAAGACCAGGTGATCTGCTCTTGTAGAGATGTTGCTATTAATTGGTTCCAATTCAGTGACCCTGTCTAGGGTTTATAGGGATTGGATCTTGGGTTTGAACTACCAACCTTGAGGTTGGCAGTCCATTGGTTATCCTACAAGTGCCACACCGTGACCTCCCCTATCCACCATAGAGATGACGGCCTAGAAAATCCTATGGGGAGGTTCAGCTCTGTCATAGGGAGTTGGTATGAGTCAAAATCAACCTGAGGTCACCCAACACCAACATAGAAACCAAAGCTTATTAGTGGCTAGCAGAGGCAGGTGGGAGGAAGGAGGGAGGGAAACTCAGAACTTAGGACAGTGAGCTGCTTTTAAGGGTCATGTAAAGAATCGGAACATCGATAATGGTGATCGTTCATCTACAGGATGAACCTATAATGGCATTGAACTGAACATGTGGAGAAGTCTGAAATAGCAAATGTTTGGTTACTTAAATAATTACTATAATTAGGGCAAAATGACACCAGATGAGGGGGTTAGAAGATTGGGCTGATGACACTAAGACTTGTCTTCATAGAGCCAGACATGCAAAGAACATTCTAGAGTGTCGACACCATCTTGATGTGCCATGTCTTGGGCCCTTGAAGTCACAATCTACAAGTCTCCCTTGTATCACTGTCCTTGGACCACCTCTGCCTGTTATGAATAACACACACACACACTCTCCTTCAGATAATGGAGAAAAGTTGAAATAAAAGGCACCCTCGCTTGGTTTTGTTGGACGGTGATGGGTAAAGGGACAGAAGGATGCGAGCTAGCCAGTGACCACGGCACCCTTCCTGTGCCCACCTTCTTGGCTGGAAGGTAACATTCGCCGTTGTTATTTTGCAGAGGGCTGAAGAGAACGCAGAAGGAGGAGAGTCTGCCCTGGGGCCCGACGGAGAGGTAAGGAGTTTGGAACCATTTCTGCTGAATCCTGAGTCCTGGCTGTACCTTCCCATTCCAGTCCCAGTATATCATGATTTTCTTTTTACTCAGTCCTTCATTTTTAAGTAAACTAATAAGCAATACATTAGCATACCAGAGAATTGGAATAGCACGAAAGGGACGAAGTGGAAAGTAATCTGCCTCCGTCTCAGTCTCACACTCCACTCCTGCGAAGGGTCTTGTGTAGCGTTTCTAGAATTTTCTGTGCACTCAGAGGCATATATTCACAAATACACATGTGTAGGACTATTAAGCGATTCGTTAATTATATCTGCCCAGTCACCAATACAGAATCATCAACTATGACCCAGCCTACGAATCTGAAATGAGAAGAATGCCTCCACCAAGCAATTCGGGATTTGGTGTTAGCTTAGTTGTTTCTTGGCATTTTGTATGGGTTTACAGATCAGTTTGTATTTGTAAATTTAGCAGCACGTTCTCAAGGTTTATTTCCTAATATTTACAATATTCTCCTGAAGCCTGAGAATGCAATTATTTATTTACTGGGTTTTATTTTTTCTAAAGGAAGGCAAGGTTCTAGAGCTCTGACCTGTGGAGGTATTTCCCCCGGGCAGGGTGGGAGAGGGTTTGTTTAAACCACCTTCTCCCCTGCTAACACATATGTTGATAAACCGTCCTGGAGATTAAGGTGGGCAGAGGGTTACTCCTTCCCAATCTAGAATCACTGAGCCTTCAAGGGGTCTTGTGATTGAACAGTCTCATCTGTCAGGAGGGTGGGGAAAGGTAGAAATCACTGACCATTCTGGGCAAAAACCTCTGGAACAGTTTGTTGCTTATCCATAATCCATCACAAGGGGAGATAAGTCAGGCGAATGCTCTGAAGTCTAAGGAGCTCCGTGGACTGGGACGGGTGAAGCATACTATATAGTATAGAGCTTAGAAGTAACTAATGTGCAAGAGCCAGGCCTTACCTACGCCTGCCTCTCACCAGTGCGTAATTAACACATGCCCCTCGGGGAGAAATTTCACAGGGTAGCCTTCAGGTTTTCTCTTGTGCTTCCTTGGGGAAAATTAACTACGGATCTGGGTCTTGTAACACACATCTTTTTTGTTGTTGTTTAACGTTAACACGTGTACATTGTCTTTGCTGGAGTTTGAGAAGTTAGCACCTTGCTTCTTTACTTTGTGTTGAAATCATGCTCAAATTCCACTCCGCTGTGCACAGTCTGTGTCCTGATTCCAGCTTCTGAATGACATCGTGAGTGAGACGCTGTGTGCTGACAGACAGACAATAGGACGGGGGTTTTCCAGGGGAAGTGACGGAGCCTCTTCTCCCTCTCGTACGTGTATAGACAACTGTGTACCTTCATGGGGGGGGGACAGACACCTCATCTCTGCTTTGACACCCCTGCGTCAGCACACACAAAGGGAAACTGCCTTTTCTTGTTTTTGAGGCCGTTTTGGGGAATAATTGCTAATCCATCGTCTTGTGACCACAGGACTCCCCATGAGTTAGAATCGACTTGAATGCAAAGTGTTTGGAGCCTGTGTTTGTTCTTGGTTGGAGGACCATACGTACCGCTACGGTTTGCCTTTTCTCTGGTGGTGGTGGTTCCGACCCATAACGACCCAGTCTAGCGTTTAAGAGGCCATTAGTCTTTACGGGAGCTGAAAGCCACATCTTTCTCCTACAGAGCAGCTGGTGGGTTTGTGGTTAGCAGCCCAAATTGTAACCCACCATGGCTCCTGACCTTTGCTTTTGTTGTTACTTGTTAAGTGTCGTCAAGTCGGTTCTGACCTACAGCGACCTTGTGTAGGGTTTCCAAGGAGCAGCTGGTGGGTTTGAACCACCAGCCTTGTATTTAGCAGTCCAGTGCTCTAAGAAATAAAAAACATCCATTGTTGAAGTACCCAATAATCAAGGTAAACACAGGCTTCCTTGTGCTTATTGATTTATCTGTAGTGAATAGTGTTGTCTGTTTTTCACCACATCTGTGACATGAAATTGCTCAGTACAGATTAGCAGGTAAGCACAAGTAAACCTGTGCTTGTCTTGCATATTGGGTGATCTGCCCCAGAAATAACCCACAGCATGCTGTTGCAGTTTTGCTGAAGTCTCCTTAAGAATAATTTAGGCAACAGTCTCTCAGATGAATTGCCTAAGCATGCGGGTTGATGACTTATAAGGAGACAGATGGGCTGGAAGTGCACACGAATCAAGGCTTTCCACATGCAGATCTTGCCTGTGGCCTCTGCCCCGAAAACCACCCTCCTATAATCAGCAACACTTATTTATGTAGGATTTCTCCATCCTGGGCCTTTCATGGCAGTTTGCTCTCCGAAGTAGGTTAAGTACAACCTGTAGAATCTCATTCACTTTCTTCGTTTCCCCAGCGGGCTGTTTTGCAGAGCCTAGTTGTTGTTGTTAAGTGCTCTCGAGTCAGTTCCGGCATGCAGCAACACAAGGTTTCTGAGGAACGGCTGGTGGGTTTGAACCACCAACTTCCCAGTTCAAACTCAGGTCCGGTGCATTATCCAGAGTCTAGTGAGGAACTGCGCCCAGCCTTTCTTGATGTGTTCAGTCACCAATGAGCAGTTTTATCGCTGGATCCCACTTAGCGGTGCCCACGGGGGCTCAGACACATCCTGGTTTGGTTTGGATGGTGTTCTGGGATAGTACAGATAGCTAACGGGCACTCGGCAGCTCAGTAATAGGTTGGAAATTCAAGTCCATCCGGAGGTGCATGGGAAGAAAGACCTGCCCCAGAATCAGCCGATGAAAAAACCCAGTGGAGCCCCATTCTTCTCTGGTACATACTTGGGGTGGCTGTGGGCTGGACTCGAGTGGGGATGAAGGACGCTGGTTCTGTAGAGGCCACGCCAGCCTCCCGTGAACTTCTTTTCCAGCCTCCTGTTCTGCTGTGAAGTGAGGCTCAGCCGTGGCCATTGTTGGTGGAGGTTGTAGTGGGCAGGGGTTCGTAGTTGCCCCTGACAAACACCACTCTCCTTGATTTCAGTTAAGATGGATGTTTGAGCAGGATGTGTGCTGCTGAGCGGCTTTCCTCCTGTAAAACAGGAGTCTGGGGGACACCCAGGAGCCTAGTGGACAGCTGGCCCAGGGAGGACCTTGCCCTGCCGGGAGGAGGCAGCGGTATAGCATGTCTACTGTGGTGTGCCCTTGCCCTCGTCCTTGAACGAGAGCCTTGGAGAGGACACCGTGTACATCAGCGTCACAGAGGGTGGCACGAACTGTCTGTACATCAAGAGCCCCAGGGGCATAGGTACACACAGTTTACACTCAACGACCTTGGCGGTTCAAACCCACCCAGCAACTCTGCAGAAGAAAGACCTGGCTGTCTGCTTCTGTCAGGACCGTTATCATTGTGGGGGCCGGCCGGTCCATTGGGACTCACAGCAGCCGCACACAACAGAGCAGAACTGCCCGCCGATGTTTTCTTGGTCGTCGTCTTTATGGATGTAGGTTGCCAGGACTTTCTTCCGTGGAGCCGCTGGGTAGGTTAACCGTTGCACTGCCGGGGCTCTGTAAAGATTCACTAAGACAAACACTGTGTCCAGTCGATCCCAACAGATAGCATCCCTAGGGGGTTCCTACAGGACAGTAGAGCCTACCTCGTAGGGTTTCCTAGGCTGTCAGCCTCTATGGGTGCAGACTGCTACATGTCTCTCCTTCCTGCCAAGCGGCTGGTGGGGGTCAAACTGCTGCCTTTCGGTTATCAGCCGAGCGCTTCAGCCTCTGTGCTACCAGGGCTCCTTTTCTGTGTCGATTACAACCACAGACACGGTATGGAGTTCTTGTCCATCACACCTGGGTGCCACTATCGATTTGAGGACAATGGTGGTTTTCTCTCCATTGAGAAATGGAGATGAGATGGAACCCCTGTTTCTGCCCCCAGAAAGGCCTCGGAGGCCTGGGTGAATGTCCAGCATTGAGTGACCAGTGACCGTACCTTTTGTCACCCCATCCAGCCCATAGATGAGAGCAGCCAGATGAGCGATCTGCCCGTCAAGGTGACCCACACGGAAACTGGCAAGGTCCTCTTTGGCCCAGAAGCTCCCAAAGCCAGTCAGCTGGACGCCTGGCTGGAGATGAACCCCGGGTAACGCAGGGACGGCCGTGTGCCTGGGGCGTTTGGGGCTCCCCTTGCCCTCGGGACATTTTGACACTAAGCCACCCAAATGTGCACGTTGAGTGCGTAGAATTGTTTTGTCATTTAAAGTCCTAAGTGCTTTTCTCTCTCCTCTGTAGCTACGAAGTGGCCCCGAGGTCGGACAGTGAGGAGAGTGATTCTGATTATGAAGAGGAGGTACGGACATCTCTGGGTTTGGGGTTCATGGCAAGAAGCAGCTCCTTGAACTCAAGCCCGGCCCCTGTGTCCCTCTGTCCCTTGAACTCAAGCCGGGCCCCTGTGTCTCTCTGTCCCTTCTCTCCTGCAGCGCTGACCTGAGAGGCAAATGATTGGCATACTGCTTTCCCACTGTGGGCTCAGTAGCACAACGACCCTGTGGAGGCCCCAGGCCCGTGGGAGAACTTGGTACTTCCAAATGTACTGGCGCACAAGAAAAGGGGATAGCCATGGATGGTTCCGTGGTGGAATTCTTGCCCGCCACTCGGGAAACCCGGGTTCAGTTCCCAGTCAGTATACTTTATGCACAGCCCTCACCCTTAACTGGAGGTCTCTGTGTTGCTAGGATACTGAGCAAATTTCATCAGAGTGTACAGACAACAACAGACTAGGACGAGACTGTGGTAGACTAGGAAGAAAGATCTGGCAATTGATTTCTAAAAATGAGCTAGTGAGACCCCAGTGAATCACAAGGGTCTGATCTGAAACCAATTCACGGGAATGGCATAGAACCAGGCATCCACTTATTCTCTTGTGCCTGGGGTCATTATGGTTGGATGGGGGTTGGGGGGGACAACTTGACTACAGGGAACAACAACAGCTTCTGAGACCCAGGGTTCAGGGGTCCCTGAGGATTTCCTTTCATTGATAAGGATTCAGCAGTTGAAATTGCAATGGGGCTATTTCTACCCAGACGGTCCATGCCGTTCTTCTCCCTTGTGAAGTTCGGTACGCTTTCATCTGTTTTCAGACAATGACCAGTCTTGGGGATGGCCTGGCTGGAGTGTCATTTTCTCCATCTTTTGTTCCTTTCCCAGGACGAGGAAGAAGAGTCTAGTCGGCAGGAAACAGAAGAGAAAATATTTCTGGATCCTAACAGTGAGGACGTCTCGGAGAAGGATGCCAAGCAGATTATTGAGTGTGTATCTCCCCGAGTGTTGGCTTTGGGGACAGGCTTCATGAAGGCTGCAAAGTGTCCCCCCCCCCGACATGGGTCTGGGTCCCGCTCTGCCTGTCACTGCAGGTCTAGCTGACCTACATGTGAATCCCGACTGCTGGCTTTTCAGTTACGTGGTGCGGGGCGGATGCATTAACCTCCCTCAACATCACCACGTGCTTGTATGTGGAAGGTCACAATATCTACCTTGCTGACATCACCACGTGCATGTGTGGGGAAGGTCACAATACATACCTTGCTGACATCACCACGTGCATGTATGGGGAAGGTCACAATACCTGCCTTTCTGACATCACCACGTGCATGTGTGGTCAAAGTCACAATACCTACCTTGCTAACATCACCACGTGCATGTGTGGGGAAGGTCATAATACCTACTATGCTGACATCACCATGTGCATGTATAGGGAAGGTCACAATACCTGCCTTTCTGACATCACCACGTGCATGTATGGGGAAGGTCACATTACCTACCTTGCTGACATCACCACATGCATGTATGGGGAAGGTCATGTTACCTACCTTGCTGAGCTTGGAAAGGACCCCTGGTGGCGCAGCAGCTAAGCTCTCCGCTGCTAACTGAAAGCTTGGTGGTTTGAATCCACCAGCTGCTCCTTGGGAGAATGATGAAGCACTCTGCTTCCCTAAAGATTTACAACCTTAGAAACCATCTGGGACAATTCTGTGTTCTGTAGGGTGTCCCCTCTATAGGGTCACTGTTGAGTCCAACTCGAAGGCACTGGGTTTGGATTGAACTGTGTAGCTTTGGGGAGGATTAGAATTCTTACCTTCCCTGTATGTTCACATCCTAAATAGTGCACTCCCAAAAGTAATAAACCCATTATTAACATAAATGATACCTTTTATGAAAAAGTACACTTATAAAAAGTGAATGTAGAAAGTGCGCTGTTTTACAGTTTTGCAAATCTCTCTCTTTCTCTCTCTCTCTCTCTCTCTCTCTCTTTCTTTTTAACTTGTTAACTGTGTCAGTGCAGCTCCCAGACTAAGATTAGGACAAAAGGTCTGGCAGTCTACTTCCAAAAACCTCAGCCATGGAAAACCCTCCGGATCACAGCGTTCCTATCCACTTCCGAGCGCAGGGATGGCACAGGAGCGGACAGTGTGCTGTTCCATTATGCTCAGGGGGCCCATGAGTTGCTTGGCTTTCAGGGCATGTGTTGTTGTGTTGTTGCTGTTGACTTGATTCTGATTCATGGACACTCCATATGTGCTCCATATGGTTTTCCTGGCTGAGACCTCGTGGAAGCAGGTCACCAGGCCTTTCTTCCAAGGTACCTCTGGGTGGGTTTGAACCGTCAACCTTTTACAAATAGCTGCAAACTTAACCTCCCGTGCCATTACGGGACTCCCAATGTGGTTGGTGTGAAGTGCTGTTGATTCGGTTTCTGACTCATAGCATACATGTGGAGGGTTTCCAGGGGGTGGGTTTGAACCACCAAGCTCACGGTTCCAGTCCATTGTTGATTCTCCAGCACCACACCAGGACTCCCAATGTTGCTGTTCCTTATGTGACATTGAGTTGATTCTGTTTTATAGTGACCATCCATAGGGTTTCCTATGCAAGGAGCAGCTTGTGGGTTTGAACCATCGACCTTGAGGTTCAAACCGACCTTGCAGTCCAGGGCTTATTCTGCAGGTCACACTAGGCTTCTGGGACTCCTGAGGGAGGTGGTGCATAAGCCATACTCCGGGCCGTTCTGGAAGGGAATCGAGTCTGTGCATGTGTTTCCCCGCTCTGTTCCCAGGACGGCCAAGCAAGACGTGGATGATGAGTACAGCATGCAGTATAGTGCGCGGGGTTCCCAGTCCTACTACACCGTGGCGCACGCCATTTCCGAGCGGGTGGAGAAGCAATCAGCCCTCCTCATCAACGGGACCTTGAAGCATTACCAGGTAAGGCCTGAGGTCCAAGCCTGGCCTGCGCACCTGGATGGCTTCAGAGGTTTGGGTACGGAGGCACATCAAGAGGCTACACAACTTGCGGTATTGCATTCTCCCCAAGACCTGGGCAGTTCTTTGAGAGCACTTCCATTTCATCTTCCTTCCCGGGGCATATCCAATTTCTCCTGTATGTGTCCAGGATGAATTTTGTGTTAAGAAAACGCTGGCTCGGCCTGTGGGACAGTTTTATGACTGTCCCTTCACAATGGAAAATCCCTTGGTACTCTGGAAGCCGGGAACATCGGAACCTCATCTTGAAACGAATTATCCCTTTAAAATATGGGTGTGACCATCGTTTTAGTTCCGATTCCACCACCTACGAGCAGCCATATTCACACTGATGCTTTATTTGTTGTTGTTGTTTTAAGGCATAATAAAATTGTGAACATCGGTGCTTTGTTGAAAACTAGTTCATAAACTCATAAATATAGCAGGCGTGTCATCTGACCGTTTCTTCCGGCAGTCCTCATGCACCACACAACAAAACACTGAGTCATTCAAACCCTCAGTTGCAGATGTGACTTCTGTGATCCACGGAGTTGGCATAAGCTAATTTTCAGAAGTAGATGTTCTGTGGAAAGCTGTCGGCACCAGAGTAACACACAAACCTCCCATAACGGTCTGGTGGTGGCCGGGCATGAAGTGCATTGGCCGGAAATTGAACCTCGGTCTCCCGCATGGAAGATGAGAATTCTGCTTGGAGGGGACATTATCGCTGGGGGTAGGAGACACATGACAGAAGGGGTGACTGATGATTTTGCATTTTCACTTAGTTTTTCTTGCTTGAACTCAACATGGAAAATCCAGCTGACCTTAAGAATGCCAGGGGGAGGCTTCAAAAAGTTCATGAAAAAATTCCATTATCTCTTCACTCTGTTTTTCCACGAACTTTCTGTAGCCCCTGCACAGATTGGCCAGGTTTCCAGACAGTCTGTTTCTGGCTTGCTGGCACCCACATTGTGAAGTGTCCACGGGCTGCCTGGACCCTCTGTCTCCCCCAGAACTGGGTGGGTGCGGGTCCTATAGAGTGCCTCTCCCAGTTCCCTGGTCACCACCTTCCTCCCTGAGGGGACCTTCTTCATTACCTGGAAGGCTGTCCCTTCCCATCAGACCCTCCTCCTGGATTGTCTGTCTGTCTGTCTTCCTCCTCAGGACTTTCTGTTCTTGGACTGTCTGGGGCAGGCGGTGGCAGGGTTTCTTAATTTATAATAATACTGTGAGACGTTTCACGGGAATGGTTCCGAAGTTGCCACCGCCGAGTCACTGCCCAGTCTGATTTACACCCAGTACCTGCCAGGCAGGAGGCAGGAATGCAAGCTCAAGTTGTAAATTCCCTCCGGGCTGGGCGGACCACGGAGGACGCCCAGGGACGGATGGGCCTGCTGTGGCGGGGGTGGAGGAGATTCTGAGATGTGTGGCAGCTTCACTTGAGTTGTGTTGGTGTTAATTATCTGGGTAATGGAAACATTGTTCTTTTCAGCTCCAGGGTTTGGAGTGGATGGTTTCCCTGTATAACAACAACCTGAATGGGATCTTAGCGGATGAGATGGGTCTGGGGAAGACGATCCAGACCATCGCACTCATCACATACCTGATGGAACACAAAAGGCTCAATGGCCCCTATCTCATCATCGTGCCCCTTTCGTAAGTACAGCGGTGGGCTCCCGCTCACCTGCTGCCGATTAGCTGCGTGCCCTCCTTTCCTCACCCACGGCAGACCGCAGTGTGGAGCGGGACTGCCAGGCAAGGTGGGGGGGGGGGGGGGTTTCTTCCTCCCGATCTCCTTTGGTCATTAAGCCGGGACCCACAGGTTGCCTCGGTCTACACAACCTGCCCACCCAACCATCGGGGAAGAAAAGATTTCTTTTGAGATGGGTCTTTGATTTCTTTACTTATTCACTTCCAAAAGGCTGTCTGTTTATATTCGTAGGGAATAGTTGAGAATATGTATTCTTCTATCTTGTGGCACTGTAGGTTAATGCACTGGACCGCAAGGTCAGTTTGAAACACAAGGTCGGCGGTTCAAATCTACCAGGCACTCCTCAGAAACCCTACTATACAGGGTTGCTATGAGTCGGAACCGTCTCGGCACTCACCAACAACAATGTCCCTGGTGGCACAGAGGCTGCATGCTCAGCTGCTACGTGATACATGAAAGGTTCAAGTCCACCAGGAGGAAGACATGGCACTTTGTGTCCACCAATGTTGCTACTCAGTGCTGTCGAGGGGTTCTGACTCATAATGACCCTCTATAGGGTCTCCAAGGCTGGAAATCTTTGCAGGAGCAGAAAGTCTCATCTTTCTCCCTAGGAGGGACTGGTGGGCTCGAACTGCCAACCTTGTGGTTCGCAGTCCAATGCTTATCCTGTAGAGCCACAGTGCTCCTAGGCAAACGTCACAGGGAAGTTCTTCTCCATCCTACACAGTGGCCATGAGTTGGAATGGAGTTGATGGTCATGGTTTATTTAGGTTCTTCTTCTTCTTATGCTTATTGTTATTAGGATCCCCGGTGACGCTGTGGGGTCTGCTAACCCACCCATCCATTGGAGAAAGATGAGGTGGTCAATTCCTTTAAAGATTTACAGTCCCAGAAAACCTACGTAGGTCGAGATTCTGACTCATGGAGACCCCATATGACAGAGAGGAAGTGCCCCCTAGGGTTTCCTAGACTGTCATGTTGACAGAAACACATCACCAGGTCTTCTCCCATGGAGTAGCTGGTGGGTTTGAACTGCCAACTTTCTGCTGAACAACCAAACCTTTAACCACTGTCCTGTCGGAGATCCTTAGTAAAGGAGATGTTGGGGCCATCAAGTTGATCCCCACACATAGCCTGTGACTAGCGTTTCCTAGGCTGAACTCTGTAGAGCAGATGGTCAGGTCTTTTCTCCTGTGAACCCTCTAGTGGGTTCCAACTGCCGCCCTGTGGGTTAGCAGCCCAACACTTTGCCGTGAGTAACTGCTCCCAGCCTTGAGTCTTAGCCGGCACCTTTCTTCATGGGAGGCTCCTTACAGATCTCGGTGTTGTTGACAGGTGCGATCCTCTTGGCTTCAACTCACAGAGACCCCCGTATACAGCTGCTTGGTCCTGTACCATCCTCACAATTGTTGTTACTCTTTGTCATACTTAGAGCTTAAGTGTGAATAAGGGTTCTGTTTATGAATTTCCCTCAGATTTCATCTATATGTTGGATTTTTATCTTATTTTTTTTGTCTCGGTGAGCTGAATCCAAGATCTTTCGCTATCTTTTGCATTTTATGTATATTTTAAGTCCACTTTTAGAATCTTATCCATATTTTCCACTTTCTAACTTGTGATTATGAATCGGGCTGTTAACCTCAGGGACAGCAGTTCGAAACTACCAGCTGTTCTGTGGGAGAAAGATGAGGCTTTCTGCTCCTGTAAAGATTTATAGCCTCGGAAACCCTATGCAGGGTGGCTATGAGTCGGACCAACTCCACAACACATAACAACAACAATCTGTGTGTTATAGTGACCTTTTAGGGGATCTTCCTAAAAGTTATTTGCCATTCCTTCCCCTGCGTCTTCTTGGCAGAGTTCTTCAGTTTGGCCATGTGGTTTTCTCATTTCTTGACACAACTTTTCACTGAACTTACAAGGCGGTTTCTCAGGACTGAATAAACCAACTTGGTAATGACCATTTGTCAATGCTGCAAACAGAGGTGGTGATGTTGCACCCCCCCCCCCATGTCTACTCCCCAGCGGCGTAGTGATGTGGCGCCTTAAGATGAGCCCTGGACCAAAAGGTTGATTTGAACCACAAGGTCGGCGGTTCAAACTCACCAGCCACTCCTCGGAAACCCTATACAGGGTCGCTATGAGTTGGATCTGACTCAATGGCACTTAACAACAATACCAACATGGTATAGTGGATTACAGGTTGGGCTGTTAACCTCAGGGACAGCAGTTTGAAACTCCCAGCTGTTCTGTGGGAGAAAGATGAGGCTTTCAGCTCCTGTAAAGATGGACACCCTCAAAGACCCCATACTGGGTCGCTATGAGTCAGAACCGACTTGACTGCACATAACAACCAAAACAACAATGCTTATACCTTCTGGATTTATTTTTTCTTAAGAAATTGTCCTATGACCTATGAACGAAAGCTTCGAGTCAGCTTACTGCTAAGATAACTATATCGTGATGTAGTCTTTATTCTCTCGGCCCTTTCCCGGAAGGACTGAGACGTGAATAGGAGCCCGTAACTTTTGTTCCTGTCTTCATTTCTGCATGTTCTTTGTCCCTTCGCCCACAGGACTTTATCCAACTGGACATACGAGTTTGATAAATGGGCCCCTTCGGTGGTGAAGATTTCCTACAAGGTGCGGAAGGCCGTGTGCGTGGGGAATTCTGGGAAACAGCGCTCAACACTCCCGCTTCCCTCATCCCTCTCCCCACCCTTCATCCACCCGGGCATCTGTGAGCAGGGTTTGGTTGTAAAGTTTTGTCTTATACGTCATGTTACTAAAACAGCGAGAGTTAATCATCCCCGGAAGATGATTGTAATGAGCCATAATTACTCTCAGATAGTGAAGTGCAGAAGGAAATGGTTAATTATCATATTGCCAGATTTCTGATGAGAGTAACAGAAATAACAAAGACCCCTGGCTGGGGCACTGCTGCTGGCTGCTCAGGCGCCGGGCATGCCTGCTGGTCTCACCCAGAGAAATGGAGCCTCCTGGCTCCACCCGAGAGGTCCTCTCTCTAGGAAAACCTCCCCGGCAGGGTCTGGAAAGATGCATCTGTGGGTGTGTATGCGCTGATGGGACGTGCCCTGACCAACTGCCACGCCCCCTCTGATGTCCGGTGGGAAACACGCCATCTCTTCTTCCCACCTAGGGTACACCTGCCATGCGACGCTCCCTTGTGCCCCAGCTGCGGAGTGGCAAATTCAACGTGCTCTTGACCACCTATGAGTACATTATCAAAGACAAGCACATTCTTGCCAAGGTATGTCGGGCCCTCACACTGGCACCTAAGCGAGTTCCCAAATCCCCCCACTGGTGTAACCTGAAGGAGCTGGGGGTGGGGGGAGTGGTTAGGGTTAGGGTTAAAGCACTCGACTGCTCCCCAGAAGGTCAGGGTTTTTTTTTACCGGGTGTGACTTCTCAGTCATACGACTTGTTAGCTACTCTGGAATTGACTCTCAGGGACTCTGTAGACCCAGAGGGTCTCCAAGGCTGTCATCGTGACGAGATCTTTCTCCCGAGGAGGGGCTGCTGGGTTGGACCTGCCGACCTTTCAGTTAGCAACTGAGTCGTCCCCTGCACCTCGAGGGACCTTAGTAATGTTACGGCTCACTAGTATGATCTGGTTCTTAGGTGCTCCTCGCTGCACGCTCTTGCTCTCTCTCTCTCTCTCTCTCTCACCTTTTCGGAGAACCATGTTTTTAGTCATGGTTCTACTGTCATGGATGGTGGTGTTTTGGGGAGGGGGGCATCCTTCTGGGACTCTTGCTTGTCTCCTCACAATTGATGAATTAGTGGTGGTGGTGTGCTTGTCATCTCTTAGAGACACTGTCTGCGGTTATCAACCTCTATGGGAGCAGAAAGATTCATCTTTCTCCTGTGGAGCGGCTGATGGGCTCGAACTGCCGACCTTGCAGTTAGTGGCCTAACCCTTAACCCCCTATGCTACCAGGGCTCCTTGTTAATGGGCTTACACCTCTTAAAAACAACCCCCCCCCCCCAGTTCCTCCAGCAGCCCTTTTCTCTCCGACAACCCTGGCCCCAGTCAGAAAGCAGGGTTGTGTCCTGCCCTGGGTCATTGTCGAAATGTCACGTCATTGCTTCAAGCCCTGGTCTCTCCACGTGGCCGCCCCGCTATAAGGACGTGTTCCTTTGTGCTTGCTGGGTCCTGTTATTTTCTAGTAAAACACCCACTGCTGTGAAGTGGGTCCTGACTCACAGAGGCCCTAGGGAACTGCAGAACTGCCCCTTAGGGTTTCTGAGACTGTATACCTTTATGGTAGTGGACAGCCTCATCCTCCTCCCGTAGAGGGGCTGGTGGGCTTGAACTGGTGGCCTGCCTTGCGGTTAGCAGCCCAACACTTAACCCACTGTACTACCAGGACTCCTTCCTGTTCTATCAGCGTGCCGCATGTGGTGGCTTGTGTGTGGCTGGGATGCTGCAAGCTATGCCACCAGGGTTTCAAATACCAGCAGGTCACCATAGTGGACAGGTTTCCGTGTAGCTTCCAGACGAAGAGAGCTATCAAATAAAGCCAACAAAACCAGTGTCCATTGAGTTGACTGTTTGTAGCGCCATCTTGGAACAATCAGTCATTGGGAAAATCTGCTTCAAGTGGAGATACAGAATCTACACTTAGCTGTGCGAGGCAGCAGGGCCGTCCCAACCTGGGGAAGTGGGTTGTGGTGTTGCGTCTGCAAAAGGAGCGTTGGGTGGGGAGATCAAGCCATACCATGTACTGTGGATGGATGGGGTCTTGGGCTTTCCATCTCACCACCCACCTGCTGACCAGTAGGACCCTGTGGCTCACCGCCTGCCCCCTCCTTCTCGGTTACAGATCCGGTGGAAATACATGATCGTGGACGAAGGGCACCGGATGAAGAACCACCACTGTAAGCTGACCCAGGTCTTAAACACACACTACGTGGCACCAAGAAGGGTTCTCTTAACGGGGACCCCGCTGCAGAACAAGCTGCCTGAACTCTGGGCTCTCCTCAACTTCCTCCTGCCTACGATTTTCAAGAGCTGTAGCACCTTCGAGCAGTGGTTCAACGCCCCATTTGCCATGACCGGAGAGCGGGTACTGGTCTAACTGTTAGATTTTCCACTGCAGGTCAATGAAATGAAGTCACCTCAAATCGGGAGCATTAAATCCACCCCCAAATTAAAATGAATAGCACAGCCAGATAAACCATCACTGGCAAGTCGATCCCAAGGCCTGGTGAGCCCATCTGTTACTGAGTAGAGCTGAGCTCCACAGGGGTTTCCTAACTGTCATCTTCATGGAACGAATCTGGTGGCATGATGATTAAAGCACTGGGCTGCTAGTCAAAAGATCCCTGGTTCAAGCTCAGCAGCTGCTCTGTGGGAAAAAGATGAGGCTATTTGCTCCCATAAGCGTGGCAGCCTTGGAAACCCTCTAAGGCAGTTCTATTCTGCTCCACTGGGGTCACTCCAGGCTGGAATCTATGCATCAACAGCAGATGGTAATGGAAACAGGCTTCCGGCCTTTCTGGGTGGGTGTGTTAACCCACCAATCTTTAGGTTAGTAGTTGAGCACAGAGCTTGTATCACCTGGGCGTCCTCTCTCTCTAAGGACCAACCGAGAGCATCAGAGCTACGGGGCTTCACAGTCTCACTTCCTAATGAGAGCTGGTTGGTGGCCAGACATGTTCATGTTCCAGGGTGGTTGTCTTCATCCAATAAAACGGGTTTAGTGCTGCGAGGGCCTCCCAAAAGGAGCACAGTGGTTAAAGAGCTCAGCTGATAACCAGGAGGTTGGTGGTTCACACCCACCAGCCCCTCCACAGGAGAAAGACGTGCCTGTCTGCTTCTGTGAGGATGTCCAGTCTCGGAAACCCTGGGGGCCAGCTCTGCTCTGCCCTGTAGGGTTGCTAAGGGTTGGAATCAAGTTGATGGAATTGGGTTTGGGGAGACCATCCTGACCCCTTTTCCACCAGGCTCCTTGTCCCCAGAGGTGGCTCAGACTGGTGGGGACGCTTAGCTGCGGTGGGCCACCGGGAGGGTGAACTTGGAGACATTTGTTCAGTTTATTCAACCAGACCAATTCAGCCAACTCAACGCAGCTGTTGAAAGCGGAGCATGCTGTTTCTGGACATATGGGCTGCCCGCTAACAAAGACTCTTGGTATAAAACAGAACTCAGACCGGAGAATATTCAGTATACTTTTTTCTTTCTTTCAGATTTTAGTATGAGCTTCAGTTTTATTTGTAAAGACCCCAAACCAAACCCACTGCCTTCGACTCAACCCCGACTCATAGTGACCCTATAGGGTACTAGAACGGCCCCGTAGGGTGTCCAAGGCTGTCGGTCTTTACAGAAAGAGACTGCCTCATCTTTCTCCCGTGGAGCAGCTGGTGGGTTCAAACCGCTGACCTTTTGGTTAAGAGCCAAGCTCTTGACCACTGTTCTACTAGGGTTGCCCTAAGTCCTGGAGTGGCCATTGGAAGTTTCTCATTTTACTCCTTCCCATCTATCCCACTCTCTCGTTGAAGCCCACTTTGGAAGGGGGGACAAGGGCCATAACAAAGACAAATGGGTACATGTTGAGCTCGTTCTTGGTCTCGTAATACAGGGCTGAAAACCCACCCTCTGAGCTGTCTGCCCTCTCATCTCGAGCTGCTGTAGAGGTCCATTGGTCGTTTGTCAGCAATTAACCAGGTCATGACAAGCAACTCTGTAGAGCAGGAGAGAAAGCAGAGGGGGTTTTAATAAATATGGCGAAACTGGACCGAGAGCTGGGCAGGGAAGAGGAAGTGAGTCGGGTGGGAGTACAGTCCCTCCAGCATAAGCTGGGTCGGTCCTTGTTAAGCCCTGTAACTGAGGCAGCCTGAGCAAAGGCCTATCTTACTTCTCCAACTCACGGCGACCCCACGCGTGTCAGGGTGGAACTGTGCACTGTTGGGTTTTCAGCAACTGATTTTTTAGACCGTGATTGCCAGGCCTTCCTTTTGAGGCACCCCTGGCTGGACTCGAACCCCTAATCTTTTGTTTAGCAGCCGAGCACATGATTTTTTTACATCAGATTAGCTATCACCTGTCTTCCCCGTCCTATCCCAATTCTCTGATCAGCCTGTAGTGACAGTCCCACCCAGTAAATTCTGCACACTTAGGACAATTGATCTGAGGCAAGTGGCTTCTAGGACTCTTATGTTCTGGACTTGACACCCAGGTAGAGGCCATTTTATCCACCTGTCTCACCAGAGGTATGAGTGACCTGGCCTTAAAGCCGATACAGTTACAGTTGTGTGTGTGGATGCTGGCAACTGACATGGAACAAGTCTGTCTGTTTCACCTGTGGTTCTCTGATAGGTGGACTTAAATGAAGAGGAAACCATATTGATCATCAGACGTCTGCACAAGGTGCTGAGACCTTTCTTGCTGAGGAGACTCAAGAAGGAAGTTGAATCCCAGCTTCCGGAAAAAGTAAGTCTCAGATTCAAGTTGTGAATTTATTTTTCCCCCATGCAAGGGAGGAACTTTGAAGATTTCAAGTACCTGCAGTTTTGTTTTGCTGAAGCAGCTACGGGCTGGCTTGCCTTTTACTGACAGGAACTTGGGAGATCATTTTAGGAGCCCTGGTGGCACAGCGGTTAAGTACTAGGCTGCTACTCAGAAGGTCAACAGTTCAAATCTACCAGCAGGTCCTCGGGAGAAAGATGTGGCTGTCTGCTCCCGTAAAGATGACAGTGTTGGAAACCACATGGGGCAACTCTCCTGTGTCCAACAGGGTGGCCACGAGTCTGTATCAGCCGATGGCAGTGGGTCTGGTGGGTTTGGGAAAGCATGGTAAAGTACTTCCGTGCTGCATGAAGCGGAAGGATTTTGTAGAGAAGGAAGACACAGTTCAGCATCTTCAGACTAGATTCCAGAAATTCTTTAGGGCAACATTTCTAACATTATCACTGAGTCTCATCGTTTATATTTTTTCAAAGCTCTGGTAGCGTAGTGGTTACGAGTCAGGCAGCTAATCAATCTCAAGGTCAGCAGTTTGAAACTCCCAGCTGTCGTACAGGAGGAAGAGGAGGCTTTTTGCTCCCATAATTTACAACCTCGGAAACCCTGCACAGGGTCATTATGAGTCGGAACCGACTCCACGGCACATGACCACCAGCACCATCCACCAGAGTGAAAATACACATGACATATGCTGCCTCAGCAGTCTGTCCATGTGCCATTCAGGGACATTGGCTGGTCTTCCACCTAACTAATCCTTTTCCAGATTTCTCTGCCACCATCAAATGCTCACCTCCCTCTTGCTGCAGGTAACCACGCATAAGTTTTAGGGTCTCTGCATTAGCTTATTTCATCTGAGCAATGCTGTCCAGCATTTGTCCTGTTGGAGTGGACAATCTCATCCTTGCAGAGGCAAGGGTTTCATTACGTTTAAACTCTCATCTTCTTTTTATTTTTTAACTTACTGACCTCGTTGGAGGTCACTGCTGATCTGTTTATATAAGTCAAAGACAGATTTGGGTTTGGGCCTTCTGTAATTACCTTCGAAGGACACAGTTAATTTTCTGTCAGCTTTCTTGAATGTTTGTCAAATATCCGCTGCATGTGTTGTTATATAGTGCATTAAAAATCAAATCCCTGCAAATCACACACCCATTGTCTCATGATGCTGGGGCCCGGTTCTTGTTGCGCATCTTAGAAACAAACATTTGGAGGGAGTACAGTTTTTCGGATTACTCTTCTAGCACTGAGCCATTTCAAAGGTCTTTTGGAATGAACAGTTTTCTGGTCAGATTTCAGTCTCCTGTTTCTGATCGTATTTGGAATCTCTCGTGTTTGCAATTCAAAGTTCTAGTCTTACAAAGATGGATTGCCTGGCATCGTGTATGATTCGTCGCCTGAGATGTCTGATTTAGGTTTCCCTTTGGCTGGGCCAATTCTGAAATATTTGACTTGTGTTTGTGTGTGTCACTGCGCTATTTTGGGACGCATTGGTTCATCTGGCTTTCGTCTCATTCGGTTTTAAGTGGCAATTGCCAAGGTGATCGCTTTGCTAATAAAGAGAGTTTGATTCCCTAATTTCTTACCCATTGCCAGTCAGAAAAAATAAATGGAAATAAAGTGTTTCTTGTATCATAGTTACCCCAGTGAAAGCCTAAATATTTAGAGATGGACCCTCTTGACTTTGCACCAGAACACATCTTGAGGACTGGATGTTGTCGGTGTGTTCCTTTGTTCCCTGTAGGCTTGATGTCTTTAAGTGACATCTTTTCAGTTAAAGATGGAGTTTACTCAATGGAGGAATCACAAGGCTCCATAGGATTTTTAAGTGGAGGGTTAGCGGAAAAGAAGACCCCCAGTGAGATGGGCAGCAGCAGTGGGCTCAGGTGTAGCAACGATTGTGAGGTTGGCCCAGGATCAGGTGGTGTTTCGTTCTCTTGTACATCATAATAAGCTCACTATGTATGAATCAAAACCAACTCGAGGACACCTAACAACAACAGCTTTGGACTACTTGTCAGCATATTGCTATGTTCATCCTGAAAGTGGTAAAGATGAGATCTTAGCTATTTTATTAAAGTTTTTTTCCTTGAAAAGAAATATAAAAGATAACTCATTCCCTAAAACTTCTCCACCTACTTTACGATTTCTAAGACAGGTTCATATTGATTGTTGTTGTTGTGTGTGTCTGTGTGTGTCTTAGACATAGTACAAGTTGAGAGATGTCCTGTCTTAAGAAAAGCCATTGACGTACATCTGAATTGATGTAGAACAAGGGGCTGGGTGTCCAGTGATGTCACATAGGAATCCCTGCTTACAAAACTATTTATTTTACCGTTCTGAGACCTTTCTGAGTACCTCTGAGGGACAATCCAACCAAACGAAACCTGTTAACACTAAGTGATTCCAGCCCACGGCTCCCCCACTTGTGACTCCCTAGGATTCATTCCTTGTTTGTTTTTTATGTGGACTTTAAGGAGCTCTGGTAGCGTAGTGGTTACAAATCAGGCTGCTAACCCCAAGGTCAGCAGTTTGAAATTACTGGCTGTTCCACAGGAGAAAGATGAGGCTTTCTGCTCCTGTAAAGATTTGCAGTTTTGGAAACCCTGTGCAGGGTCACTATGAGTCGGAACCGACTCCATGGTACTTAACACCAACAACTGTTGTTGGAAGAGGTACTCCTTAGAAGCCAGGATGGCCAGACTTCATGTCTCATACTTTGAACATGCTATCAGGAGGGACCAGTCCCTGGAGAAGAACATCATGTTTGGTAAAATGGAGGGTCGGAGAAAAAAGAGGAAGACCTCCAATGAGATGGATTGGCACATTGGCAGCATCAATGAGCTCAAGCGTAGTAGTGATTGTGAGGTTGGCCCAGAACCGGGCCGTATTTCGTTCTGTTGTGCATAGGATCGCTATGAGTCGGTGCTGACTTGATGGCACCTAACAACTGGATCTTTGTTTTTTCTTTTCCAATTAATAGTTCATCTATGAATTGTTCTGTAATCTTGGTTGTAATCCCCAAATGTGCCTGCATTCTCCCCATTTCCTCCCATTTCTGTCTGGTTTGCCTCGTATATTGCTTGGAAGAGCATTCTTCCGGTTGCTTGTTTTGTAGCCCCATTTATTGTTTGGTTCACAGGAGAAAGACGGAGCTGTCAGCTCCCACAAAGATTCACAGCTTCGGAACCTCCCTGGCCGCTGTGAGTCAGAACCAGGCTGCTGTGAGGGCACTGGGTTTGGGTTTTTAAAAAGTCTTTGGCTATAAAGTGGCTTCTGGGAGTGTCTTCGGTTTCTGGTTGATTGGTTTTCTCAGGGCCACACTCTTAGGGCCTCCTCTAGCCTCTTACATTTGTTATTAAGGTCAGCAGTTCGAAACTACCAGCCGCTCCGCGGGAGAAAGATGAGGCTTTCTACTCCCGTAAAGATTTACACCCTCGGAAACCCTGTACAGGGTCACTATGGGTCGGAACCGACTCGATGGCACTTAACAACAACAACAACAGCCCATTTGAGCATGGACTTTCTGTTGTGTCCCTGGTCAGAGCGGTTGGTGGTGGGAGTCAGGTGCCCTCTAGCTTTTAGAGAAGGCTGTGGCTCATGTAGGTTCTTAGGCTTTTGGGCTAATTGCCTACTTCTCAGAGACTCTGTTTTCCTTCTAAGGAGCATTCTGGTTGTACTTCTTCCGAGGCTGATCTGTTTGTTCTTCTGGCAGTCCCTGGTCCTTTCAGTATTCACCGTCAACACCAGAACTCAAAGGCATCAATTCTACGGTCTTCTTTATTCATTGTCCAGTTTTCCCATGCATATGAGGCTATTTAAAGTACCAGGGCTTGAATCAGGTGTAACTTAGTCTTCAAAGTGACATCTTTGCTTTTTTAACACTTTAAAGAGGTCTTTGGCATCCAATTTGCCCAAAGCAATACACTGATTTCGTAGCTGCTAATTCCAGGTGTATTATTGTTTATGCACAGCCGTAGTGGTTACGAATCGGGCTGTGAACCGCAAGGTCAGCAGTTCGAAACTACCAGCTGCTCTGTGGGAGAAAGATGAGGCTTTCTGCTCCTGTAAAGATTTACAGCCTCGGAAACCCTGTTCAGGGTCGCTGTGAGTCGGAACTGACTCCATGGCACATAACCACCACCATCCTCTCCTGAAAAGTCATGTTGGGATTTTTAAGCAAGAGGATTAAATATACGTAAGCCCTAGGTTCTGGAATCTGTGGCATGGGAGAAGAGTGAACGAATGATTAATATCTAGCACTGAAAACTGTTACATTATGCACCTGAGGAGTAGAAAGCACAAGTCCCAAAAAACTTCTCGTCCTGCTGTGTGAACTTGGGGGGTCACTTAACCCAAGCGGGCCTAGGGTTCTCTGTGAACTGGACTGTAAATGTCTGCCTTATAGAATCGCTGTGAGGAGAAGGTAAAGATCACGCTCACTCTAGGATTTCCTGGGTGGCACACACAGTTAAGCGCTCAACTACTAGCCAAATGGTTTTTAGTTCAAACCCTCCCAGAGGTGCCTCGGAAGACAAGCCTGGCGATCTGCTTCTGAAAGGTCCCAGCCTCGATCGAGCACCCTGTGGGGCGCAGTTCTCCTCTGCACACATGGGGGCGCCAGGAGTCAGAATGGAGTCCAGAGAACAGCAAACAACGCCACAGCTTTTAATCCCACTTCATCTTCTTCGTGCCCTACACTCGGGGCTGTTTCTGTTACAAATTGCGAACTCCAGTGCCCCACCGATTTTGAGGTCTTCCTCGCTCTGCTGGTGCCCCTGTACTTTCTGGGGACCTCCCACATCTCTGTCCTCACCTAAACCCTTCAGGGTGTGTGGACCAGTCACTGTGTGTGTGGCTGTGGTAGCTGGGACTTGGCTCCACATTCATGCTTTTTTCTGCCTGAGGAGTTTTTTACCTGGGGAACTTTGGCCTTTTCCTTGTCTTCCTTGCCAGTAGGATTTTTTTTCCTGCTTCCAGGAGTCCTGGTGTGGCTCTGTAGGATAAACACTGGACCGGAAGTTCAGTTTGAACTGCAAGGTTGGAGGTTCAAACTCACCAGTCATTCCTCAGCCACCTTACACAGGATCAATATGAGTTGAATCTGATTTGACAACACTTAACAAAACTAACAGTCACATCTGTGGATAGTCATAAACTGTGTACATTTCTTATTCCACACACACAAAGAATGTAGAAAGGACTTCTGCGTGGTGGTAGAAAACGCCTAAACACTTCCAATACCATGTAAGTGATCTTTACATGTTTTCATAAAAATTTTACAAAACAAAGATCTCTTAGGGGATATACTTCTTCATTTATTTCTCTTTTTATCCAGTAACATTTACTTGTGGGTGAACGACTCTCTGAGTTTTGACGAATACACAGTTAACCACCCTCAAACTAGCAAGCAATTCCGTCCTCCCAACAATTCCCTCCGTGGCTCGTCTGCCAGTGTGTTCTCCTCTGGTGGCTTGCTGTGATGCAGGGTCACCCATGGGGCACAAGTGTCAACAGAGCTTCCAGACTAAGACAGGCTAGGAAGGAGAGGCCAACCACTTCCGATTGGCTAGCCCCTGCAAGCGTTATGAATGGCAGCGGGACTTTGTCAGATTCAGTGCCAGAAGGTGAGCCCCTTTAGTTGGCGAGCACTCAAAATGCGGCAAGTGGAGAGTTAATGAAAATTAGGAAGACCCCTGAAAACATGAATTGTCACCATGGCAGCAACATGACAATAGTTGTGAGGTTAGTGCTGGACTCGGCAGTGTTTGATGACATCTAATAACAAGGACCATTCCCTGGATCCTACCCTCTTTTCGGAGTCCTGGTGTAGCACTGTGGGTTAATGCGCTGGACTGCAAAGTCAGTTAGAACTGCAAGGTCAGCGGTTCAAGCTCACTAGCTGCTCCTTGGAAACTCTATACAGAGTCACTATGGGTCAGAACCGACTCGACGGCTTAACAACAACAACCCTGTTTTTAGTAAACCTTCCCTCCACCCCAACCCTCCTGTAACCTCCTAACCTGTTCTCCACCCTTACAGTCCCAGGATGTCAGATGGAACCGGACCATGTGCAGCATTGTGACATGGGTCTTTCTCGCCATGATTCGTTGGCGAGTCATCAACGTTGTTGGGTGTACCAATAGTTTGAGTCGTCTTTATGGTTGAATACGCTTCCATTATAATCAATGTACCACAGCTTGTTTATGTAGACTCAGATATGTTTAAGCATAATGTATTGCAAGATCCGAGGTAAACTAGAGCTTGACATGCCTCAAATAGCACGTGGTTTTGATATGTTGTTGTTTAGTGCCATCGAGTCGTTTCCAGCTCATAGCGACCCTGTGTAGGGTTTCAGAGGAGCAGCTGGTGAGTTTGAACCTCCGACCCTGTGGTTCAGACCTACCTTACGATCCAGTGCTCATCCTATAGCACCACACCAGGTCTCCATTGGACCGCTAACAGCAAGGTCGGTGGTTCAGACCCACCAGCTGTGTCTTGGAAACCCTTCACAGGGTAGCTATGAATCAGGACTGACTCGACGGCACCTCACAACAACAGCAACAAAAATAAATGCGCCAGATCATCCTACTTGTTGAAATCTGTACTTGTCTCACACATTTCTTCGCCATGATGAACTGTCTTTGAGAATTCTCAGCTCTGGAAAAAGCAGAAGTATTTTGAAAATTTAACAGGAAGCGGTTATATTTGAAGCCCATTCTTGTTGATTAAATGTGAGAGGATTTTTGTTTCCTCGATGGTCAAGAAGGCGATGAGAAATCGAAACGGATACATAATGGCTTATTTGCCTTCCTGACCCCTTCTGAGGAAGATCAGGGTTTCTCCCCCACCTGTTGTAGGGGTGTCGAAACCAGTGACTAAGGTCTGTCCATCGTGACTCCCGCTGGCTGGACCAGTCCCCTCCAAAGCTGCCAAACCGCAACGTCAGTGGTTCAAGCTCACCAGCTGCTCCTTGGAAACCCTATACAGGGTTGCTGTGGGTTGGAACCGACATGACGACACTTAACAACAACAACAATTGTGGTGGTGGTAGTTATGAGCCATGGAGTTGGTTCCTACACATAGTGACCCTGTATAGGTTTCCACAAATGTCAGTCTTTACAGGAGCAGAAATCCTCATCTTTCTCGTGTGGAATAACTGGTAGATTGGGACCACTGAGCATGCATTAGCAACCCAGTTTGTAATCCACAACACAACCAGGGCTGTTTAATAGTATTGGGGTAACAGCCACATACGACCATTTCAAAATGATTCACAAAGAATACCAAAGGGCGTTAGCTGGACCCTCACTTCACTCAGCTGTAAGCGGATAAGTGGGAAGTGGAGGGAACACTAGAAACGTTCTGTGCTGAATGAACATGTTTGACCTGCTGGGAAGCTAACGTCTCTCAACCATGAAGCAAGTCAACAAATGTGTGAAAACTTGCTCATAGCCTCTATTCCCATAGAACCACTGGAAGGTTCCATCTACTCTGGGACACTTGGCCAGCCTTGCATCGTCCTCATGGTCACTGCCATGTTGGGGTCCTCCTATGATGTCATTGTGCTATTCCAGCTCACCTCACTGACCGTCCACTTCACCAAACCTGATATCCTCTTCCAGCAACTGATCTGTTCTGATGCTGTGTCCAAAGCAAGCGAGCTGGACTGTGTTCTATTGTGATCCACAGGGTGATTTTCAGAAGATAGCCAGGACTTTCTTCCTAGTCTGTTATAGTCTGACAGCTCCATCCACTGTGGGTGGCCCTGCTGGTATTTGAAAAAGCCAAATGGCCTGGTTTCCAGCATCACCACAGCAACACATAAGTCACCAGAGGATGACTTACTGACCACGGACAGTGGGTACTGTGGTCAGGTGCCATGGAGTCGGTTCCTACTCACAGGGACCGTGTACACAACAGAAGGGGACACCACCCGGTCCTGTGCCATCCTCACAACGTCATGAGACCATTGTTGCTGCCACTGTGCCAATCCATGTCTCTGGGGGCCTCCCTCTGTTTAAAACTGCCCCTCTGCTTTACCAAACATGATATCCTTCTCCAGGGACTGGTCCCTCCTGATACTATGTCCGAAGTATGAGAGATGAAGTCTGGCCATCCGAGCCTCTAAGGAGCACTCTGGCTGCACTTCTTCCAACACAGATCTGTTGGTTCTATGGGCAGCCCATGGTACTTTACAATATTCTCCTCTAACACCACAACTCAAAAGCATCAATTCTTCTATGGTCTTCCTTACTCACTGTCCAGCTTTCACATGCGTATGAGGTTGTTGAAAATACCATGACTTGGGTCAGGCACACCTTAGTCCTCAAACTCACATCTTTGCTCTTCAGCACTTTGGGTGTGGCGCTGTAGGTTAATACACTGCACTGCAAGGTCAGTTTGAACCACAAGGTCGGAGGTTCAAGCTCACCAGCCGCTCCTCAGAAACCCTATACAGGTCGCTAAGAGTCGGAACCGACTGGACGGCACTTCACAACAAACAACAACAACAGTCTCCTTTACTTCTGTGTTAGTTCTCCAGTTCTGCTTTAACTGGAATACCACAACGGGGTGGATTTAGCAAACAGAAACGTATTCTCTCAACAGTCTCCTTTACTTCTGTGTTAGTTCTCCAGTTCTGCTTTAACTGGAATACCACAACGGGGTGGATTTAGCAAACAGAAACGTATTCTCTCACAGTCTCCCTTACTTCTGTGTTAGTTCTCCAGTGCTGCTTTAACTGGAATACCACAGCGGGGTGGATTTAGCAAACAGAAACGTATTCTCTCACAGTTGGGAGACTAGAAGACTAAATTTCAGAGCGTGGACTCTGGAGAAAGGCCCATGTCTCCCTTCAGCATCCGAAGGCCCAGCATAGCTTGGAGATCCCCATGTGTCTCTGCATCAGTCTTCCTCAGGATCTAAGAGCTTCTCAGGGCAGGGACCCAGGTCCAAAGGATGTACTCCACTCCGGCTCTTCTTTCTGGCTGGTCGTAGGTCCCTCTGAGCTCAGCTCATGTCTCCCCACTTTTCTCTCTTCTAAGTAAAAGGTGTTTCAGGCCACATCGCAAGGGAACACACATCAGCTCAGCGCTAGGACAGAATTAAGGGCATTGCAGCCCACCCTTAATTCTTTTACTGGTTTTTCACATCTGCTCACATCTTTGGGGGGATCATCCCATAACTGCCATATGACACCATCCTGTTACTGCCGAACCTTTGAGAATCAAGACCCCGCCAGAGAACAATGATTACGGAAGGCACACAGTTCATTCCATGTCGAACTCCCACCCACTCCATGAATCCCAGAAGGGAAAGGGAGCGCCCCTCTTGATTCCAGGAATGGTCCTTGTTGTCTTCCAGCCAGGTGCCCACAGTCTCCCTAAGAGGCTCTTAACCGCTTCCTGTCCCCTTTCCCACAGGTCGAGTACGTGATCAAGTGTGACATGTCGGCGCTGCAGAAGATTCTGTACCGCCACATGCAAGCCAAGGGGATCCTCCTCACGGATGGTTCTGAGAAAGACAAGAAGGTACTGATGCTGTGCTTCCTTTTGTCCCTGCTGATGCTGATGTCCCCTCCCTCCCCACCGAGGGTCTTCCAACATCTTAAAACAAACTGCACAGAGGGGCTGGGAGGAGGGACGAGGGGAGTATTCTCACATCACCAAAACAGCCAGCTTTGTCCAGGTCACACTCGGCCTGAGCTTGGGGTGGCCTCAAAAAAGTTGTCCTCCAAGCCATTCACACTTGCAGGACAGCTCTTCTGATCTCTGTCTCCCCAGAATGCTAGGGAGTTCACAATTATGCCACAAAGCTGCCAATTTCACATTGGCCCCTGAGATTTCATTTAAATGTAGAACACGTTCATCCCAAGAAAGATGCTTGTGGTGAACCTGAGATCTTGCTGCTGGTAACAGGAGCTTTGACCATATGCTGTGTGTGTTACGCAGCAGACCTGTGGCCCCTTGCCCACCCTAGAGGTCCGCTTCTAATCTCTGGAACTACCTGGTCAGTGGATAACGATGCTTAATTTTGATCTGTCCACCTTGCTCTTAGGGGAAAGGAGGCGCTAAGACACTCATGAATACTATCATGCAATTGAGGAAAATCTGCAACCATCCCTACATGTTTCAGCACATTGAGGTGAGTCTGTGCATTGTGTTCTGTGTTCTAATCCTGGCCCCTCTAGTTCTCTGAATGGCAGTTAAAAAAAAACAAGTGAAACTAAAAAGGGGGTCAAAATTTGGGTGCAGAGCCGAACCAACACGTTCTGCAGACTGAACAGACTGGAATTTTCAGCAGGTGGGTCTGCGTTGGCACCAGAAGCGCTGGAGCAGCTGGAATGTGAGGAGTGTGGAGTTGTAGGAACGTGTCGAGAGTGTGGGTTCTCTCTCTGGGCTCCAGTGAGGACCGCGAATGGCCTTGTTCAAAGCATGTTGTTAAGTGCCGTCTACTTGCTTCTAAGTCCTGGCAATCCTGTGTAATGTACAGAAATAAAGATGTGCTCAGCTTTCTCGGAAAGATGTGGCGTTGGACTGCTGATCCCAAGGTTGGTGGTTCAAACCCATGAACTGCTCCAGGGGAGAAAACGAGGCTGTCTGCTTCCATTAAGGTTACAGTCTCAGAAACCCTAGGGGGCCGTTCTGCTCTATCCCACAGGGTCGCTGTGAGTCGGATTCAATCCATCGGCAGTGAGTTTGGTTTGAGGAGAGAAAGATGGTGTGACTATTTCCTTGGGGGGGAAGACACCAGCTCAAGTCTGGTACCTGTCTGGAGACTTCATGCTGATGTAAATCCGTGCTTTCATCCTAATGTTCCTTCCTGAAGAAAGCTATTTGGGGGATGGGCCAGGATGCTGTGTGCCCTGCTCCTGAGACAGCGGTTTCACCATAGTGACATGCTGAGCTTGGACGGCAGAAGCCCACAGCCGAGTTCTCCAGGTCTCAGTGCAGCTGATGCTGGATGTGAGAGCAGGTCTCCACCCCCCCAGACCAGTTGTGTTGTTTTTGTTCTTTTTTTAAATAGAAGCTTCTGGAAAATGGAAGCTTCGTCATCACAGTGTAAAAACAAGATGACTTGGAATATTCCTTCCCTGGGAAAATTGTTTGTTTTCTGCCCCTTTTCACCATAACTATCAGGCTGCGAACCTTAAGGTCAGCAGTTCGAAACTACCAGCCGCTCCGCGGGAGAAAGATGAGGCTTTCTACTCCTGTAAAGATTTACACCCTCGGAAACCCTGTACAGGGTCGCTATGGGTCGGAACCGACTCGATGGCACTTAACAACAACAACAACAACATTTGTTATCATACTTGTGAGAGGATGGTGTGTGAGGATCAGTCCAAAAGTAATGCTACAAAATGATAGAAATCTTTATTCAACACAAAGATCAAAATGTGAAGCTGTTGTGAACACACCTCTGAAGGGGGTGATTCCATCTCTCCAGCCCTCTGACACAGAGTTGCATTGACACCCCACATCAAAGCAGCAGTTTCGGCGTCCTTAAAGGGATCAGTCAGTTACTTTTCAGTGTTTTTTTGGGAGGATTTGGAGAACAGTAAGACGTGTGAGGGGGCAACACCAGGGCTCTGAGGTGGGTGGGATGAGGTTTTCCTAAGGAAATTCTCACAGGACAGCCCTTTCTACCTTTGGAAACCGTGGTGGAGAAACTTCCTCGGTCCACCTTTCCCGGCCTGTTTCTCAGCAACGCCATCTGTTGTTGTTGTTGTTGTTGTTACTGTTACAGTTTTTCATTTTCTTAAAAACTTTTTCCTAATTAAGCCTCTATGATCATCCTGTGTCCTTGGAGTAATTCTTCTCAAGATGACTCCTTTGGAATCCTTAGAAAACAATCGCCATAACCTCTCCAGCAGGTCCCCTCGGAAGCCACTGTTTTGACTGGAACCATTTTAGGGGAAGACACCCAAATGAGACTGGTGGTGGTGGTGTGCCATGGAGTCGGTTCCGACCCATAGCGACCCTGTACAGGGTTTCCGAGGCTGTAAATCTTTACTGGAGCAGAAAGCATCATCGTTCTCCCGTGGAGCATTTGGTAGTTTTGAACTGCTGACCCTGAGCTTTGTAGCCCGATTCGTAACCACTATGCTACCAGAGCTCCTTCTAATGACTTAAGTGTGAAGGTGTGAAACAGTCTCCTTCCCTGAGGATGGGCTTCAACTCCGTGGTCAGAGAGAAACCACGGGAAGCCACGTGGACAAGGCCATTAGAGCCCTTCCTGTCACGGAGGAGGGAGCTCCGGGATTGAAAAGTAGAAACCAGAGGCCTGACTGTTGGTGGGCATTTAGGGCCTTAGTTGTAATGAAGCAAAGAGGGGAGGATTTCACTGGATCATCAGAAAAGAGGGAGAGCCCCCAATGAGATGGACTGGCACAGTGGCAGCAGCGATGGGCTCAAGCGTAGCAACGATTGTGAGGATGACTCAGGACCGGGCAGGGTTTCGTTCTATTGTGCATAGGCTTGCTGTGAGTTGGAACCGATTCAACAGCACTTAACAACAACAACAACATTACGCTCCAGGTCTCGTCTAGACTCAACACTTTGTGAGGATGGATACTTTGGCTAATCGTGGGCCCCACGCAGCCTGGGGCCCTCTGGTGCTCACCTCTGTGCCACTTGGACTGACCACTCATCCAAGGCTGAGTGACTAGTAACTCCCTGAAACCCACAGGGTCCATTTCTCCTATGACAGGGTCAGGATGCAAATGTTTCCGGTTCACTCTATTGCATATTTATTTATTTCTAATTTTGTTTTCATTAACTGTAGTAGGATCAGCTCCTCCTCCCGCCCCTCAGATAAAGAAGACTCATCATTGAGTTAAGATTTGAATCAATTTTTCTTTTTTTTTTTCTAGGAATCTTTTGCTGAACATTTGGGTTATTCAAATGGAGTCATCAATGGGTAAAGTCTTAAAATCCTTTTCTTCCAAAACACAATGCTGTGAGTCCTTTATAAATGTCTTCCCTACATCTGTACTGCCTTCCACCTTCCCTTTTTAGTGGAGTGGAGATGCCAAAATAGTTTCCGCATTCACTCTTACTCGATTGGTATCAATTATTCCTGGTCTTGAGCAAGTGGGGATTCTGGGAACATGAATCTCATTGAATAGATCTCCTGGTAGTCTCGGAACTTCAGAGTTTTTAAAATGTTGTTGAAGCTTATTACACAGCACCATTGTGTCCTTTGGGCTCAAAGAGACTTTATCTTCCTATTTGACATTCAAGGGCCTCCAATCTGATATCAGTGCGTACTGTTTGACACCCATTTGCTGGAGAGCAGGTTTGCATAAGAGACATCTTTTGTTTAGCAGTGGTCTCTCAGATTGGATTCCCACCAGGGTACATTTAGGGTTAGCATATAGGGGGGCTCTTCCTGCATCTTCATCATAGAAACCAGGGAGCTGGGACCCATCAAGAACCAGGACCAAGAGTCTGTTCCTGACTCTCTTTTCCTCTGGTCCCTTTGGCACATGGCTGAACAGAGCGGCACCACAAAATCCCTGTGTGATCAAATGGGGACACATTCTTCTGTTCACCAGAAAGTTTGAATCCACACAGAGGTGCCACCTGCTTCTGAAAGTTCACAGCCATGACAACCCTACAAAGCATAGTTCTGCTGTGTCACATGTGAGGTCTCCAATAAGTCACAGTTGGCCCAACAGCAGCTGACTGCTGGTTGAAGGAGTTCGGATGGAACCTTGGGCTCTAGAGAGACTGGTTGCCTCATCTTAGGGCCTCGGGTCAGCCCTGGCCCTGTCAGCTTGACTAGGGTCACAGAGAGAAAGTGTGACCACAGCGAGCATTGGAGGGCAGCTCTCTAAGCAGGGTCAGTCAGGCATCCACTTTGCAATATGTCTATTCCAAGTATTCTCCACCAGCTGATAAAACTACCAAAGGGTGCATTTTCATGTTGGAGACTACATGCACGCTGCTAAGTTTATAAACCAGACACAAAAACAAAAAGTGGTTATTGTGAAGGAGAAAGCTCCCCACGCCCACCCCTCCACTTTCCCTGAGTGGACCATCATGTTATTATAGTTTTGCTTCGTCTCCACCCTGATTGACCTGGGAAGAAGGGCTCGGTCATGCTGGGTGAGGCAGAACCACAAGGGGCCTGAATCTGTAAAATGTAGGTGAGCTAGAACAGGCATCATGCAGATGGAAGCCCGGCTAGAAATTCAGTCTCCTTCTTAGACAACAAGGGCAGTGTCGCCGAATCTCTTGACCGAGAGAGTCGCCGAATCTCATGACCGAGAGAGTTGGAAACTATGGTGCACAGATCAAAGATGGAGGCTGCCCCTACCGTTTTGAATGTGTGCTGCTCGCTCTCCAAGGTGCTGACCCGAAACCAGTGTCCTGCGTCTGGCACCTGAAAGGACTCCATGCGCCTCTTCCAAGCCTCCCATTCCAGAGTCTTGAGCCATCACTTTACCCGTTCGGTTTTATCATTCAGCTTCACTCATGTTTTACAAACTTGTAACCGGCTCAAAGCCCTGGCTTGGACTCATACTGCTAAAGTGAGCTAGGACTCTGGCCCCTTCCTCAGTCCACTCTGACCGTGTCCACAGCTCTTTCTAGATCTTTGTGTGAGAATGCTTTCTTTGTACCATAAATACTCTTATGTCTGCGGGTGTGCGTTCCCTCAGCCCTCAGCTGTTGGCTAGGTGGGGCTCTGTGTGAGGTAGTGCGACCCCGCGCCCCTCCAGACGGCAGGGCTGATACTCACATTTGCTGTTGCTTTTCTGATTCAGGGCTGAGCTGTATCGGGCCTCGGGGAAGTTCGAGCTACTGGACCGGATTCTGCCCAAGCTGAGGGCCACAAACCACCGGGTGCTACTCTTCTGCCAGATGACGTCACTCATGACCATAATGGAGGACTACTTTGCCTTCCGGAACTTTCTATACCTGCGCCTTGATGGTAAGCCTGTGAGGACTGGGGTTTTGAAACTGTGGGACTGAAAGTAAAGGCAAACTAGGCACATCAGTCCAGTGCCCGGCACAAAGGAGGGCCAGGATTGCGGTAGAGCTAGGTGAGGCAGCGTTGGTGGGTGGTGTGGAGTCCATTGTAACCCACAGTGACCCCACATGACAGAGTAGAAGTGTCCTAGATGGTTTTCTAGCCTGTCGTCTTCACGGGAAGTCCTGGTGTGGCACTGTAGGACAAGTACTGGACTGCTCACCACCAGCTGCTCCTTGGAAAGCCTATACAGGGTCGCTATGGATCGAAGCCAACGCAATAGCACCTCACATTGGGGGTCTTTATGGGAGCAGATTACCAGGACTTCTCCTGAAGCTCTGCTGTGGGTGGATTTGAACTGCGAAACTTTCTGTTAGTGAACAAGCACTTCACCTTTGTGCCACCAGGGCTCCTAGGGTGGTTGTGTCTTTCCTAGGCAGCAGTTTCTCTTACATCCTCAAGTATGGGGGAAACTTTGCACAGCTGTTTATTTCCCATAGGGGCCTTCCTTGGTGGTGCAGTGCATTAAGCATCGGCCTGCCAGGTCAGCGGTTTGAACTTAACCAGCTACTGCTCGGAAGAGAGGAGGCTGTCTGCTCCCGTATAGATTCATAGCCATGGAAACCCTTTGGAGCAGTTCTACACTGTACCTTTTATTCTTTGCTAGTCAGAAGCAAATTGGTAGCCGTGGGCTTCAGGGGTTTCAGGTTTATCCAACATACAACACATATGGACTCATACCCAAATTAAACTAAACTAAATTCAAGTGAAATTTAATCCACCCTGCTAACTCTGAAGAGTCTGTTTCGTACATACCTTCGAGAATGTTGTGGCGTACCTCGAGATTTTTTCTGTTAACATGGGAGTGAAGGGGCCACAGAATGAGGGGAGGCTCTGTCTCTTTGCTCCTGTAACCATAAAATACTTAATTGTTATCAATACTTGTGTTGTTCGAAGTAGAACATATTTCTCCCTGTTATGGTGTTAAGAGGCAGGGGGCTCTGTTGCTTGCGGACTTTTGCAAATTCTGCCAAATGTTTCCCTGATTTCAAGAATGAACAACAGAAGCACTTGGAATTTGTGTTCAGTCCGTAAGTACTAAAGTGTAATAAGAAAATAAGATGCATGCGTCTCAAATGAATGTTTTTGATATTTGGAACCCAGCCATAATGTTTTAGAGCTGAGGGATGTGGAGATTTGCAGACTATGGCGGGGCGACAGTAATACATGCAAAGGGGTGTAGGCATGAGAGCAAATTCTCCACCAGCCAGTGTGTGTTCACTGACTAAGCAGAGCATCCTTCACTCACCTGCTCGAGTGTGGTACTAGAGTGGCTGTGTGTTGCTGGGATTCTGGAAGTTATGCCATCGGCATTTCAAATACCAGCAGGGTCACCCATTGTGGACAGACCTTCATCGGAGCTTCCAGACCAAGAAAGACTAGGAAGAAAAGCCTGGCAGTGTACTTACGAAAATTAATGGGGAAAAAGAACAATGAAAACCTTTGGGGGTCACAATGGGACATTGGCTGACATCCAGCTGGAAGATGAGCCCTGAAGCTGGAAGGCCCCAAAAGGCACACAACAAGGCTGTCAAGCGTAACAGGGATGGTGCGGTTGGCAAGTCCAAATGCCATCTCCTTCTGTTGTACCCGACATTGCCATGGAAACTAGCGACAGGAATGGTGTGGTACTACTAATACTGGTGTTTGTTAAGTGCTGTCGAGTTGGTTCTGACCCACAGCAACCCTGCATGGGGTTTCTGAGGAGCAGCTAGTGAGCTTGAACCGCCGACCTTGCAGTCCAGAGCATTAACCCACAGCGCCACACGGTGACTCCCATGAAATGATTATTAAGTGGGAGATTTAGCGTTGCTATTGAATCACAGATGGACCCTGGTAGCACAATGGGTTATGTGCTGGGCTGCCAACCACAAGCTCAGTGGTTCGAACCTAATAGCCACTCCCAGGGAGACAGATGAGGCAGGCTGCTTCTATACAGACTGAGTCTCAGAAACCCTAAGGATCAGTTCTCTGTCCTGTCGCCGCTCTGAGCCAGAATCAACTCGATGGCAGTGTGTGAGTGGGTTCTAGTCAAAGGCTCGGTTTTCCTTTCAGTCTGACATTGTGTCTTCCTGTTGCCATTAAGTATAATAAGGTAAGACTTTGTTATTGTTCATCTTTAATTGGGTATAATTTATCTATAGTACATGTAGTATTCATTTGCTGTCCGCGGCTAGAGGCACTTGGGGAAATTTCTCTGTGTCAGAAGTTTTCCCTAACCCAAAATAGCCATTATTTCCTCAGAATTTCCGGTAAAGTTAAAGCATCTTTGAAGTGCTCTTTAGCAGGGCTGTCTTGAGCTTGTAAATAATAATTACGCAGCCAGACACAGCTCAGACTTGCCACATATGCTCCTTGTGGAGTTTCTAGGGGAATTCTCTTCAGGGCCTACCTCTGAAGGTGTTAAGTAGCGTGGATTCGGTTCTGACTCATAGCGACCCTGTATAGGGTTTCCGAGGAGCTGCTGGTGAGTTTGAACTGCTGACTTTGCGGTTCAAACCCACCTTGCAGTCCAGTCCATTTCCTACGGGGATTTTTAAATGCAATGCGCTCTCTGGTGGCCTTAATGATTTTAAACCTTTTTTACCATTCTGAGACCATTTGAACTGCAAAGTTGGCGGTTCAAGCTCACCAGCTGCTCCTTGGAAACCCTATACAGGGTTGCTATGAGTCGCAATCGACTCGACGGCACTTAATAACACAACAACTGCTCTGAGAAGAGATGAAGGGTTGCATGAATCCATATTGACTTTGAATTCACAGACACGACCGTGTTATCCACAGTATCACCTGGGAAGTCGCCCTCACTCCAGAATGTCTCCACCACTTCTCACAGTATGTCAGAGTAGAACTGGGCTCCACAGGGTTTTCAGTGGCTGGTTTTTCTAAAGCAATTCACCAGGCCTTTCTTCCGAGCTGCTTCTGGGTGGACTCGAACCTCTGGCCTTGCAATTAGCAGCCGTGTGTTCATCGTTGGCACCAACAAGGGCTCCCCTAAAAACAAACCCCCCCTGCTGCTCAGGAGAGGTACAGCCCACCCTCATTTTCTCTGGGTTTACAGCCCCCACAGGTAACTTAGAGGCATCTTGTTTACTACTTTGTGGCACTTCATTTGGGATTTCAGCTCTCCTTGAGTCTGTGCACCTGACAGGAGGTGACCTTGACACACGCTCAAGAGGCTTCTTCATAGTCTCTTGGTTGCTGCCCTTATTGTTATTAACAGTAATAGTAATCAGACCTAATGTTGATGGATGCCAAGAACATGTGGGCTACGAGACAAAGCTCTCCCTGTGTTTTGTTTCGTGTAGTTTTGTCAACAAAGAAGGTACTCCTGTTTCCATTTACAATGTGCTGTTTTATATCTGTCTTGTTTCCTAAGTACTGTACGTGGGTGGCTTTCACAAACTGGAATTTAGTCTTACAGTTTTGGAGGCTGGAAGTCTAAATCAGGGCTCTAGGGGTGGGGTCTTCCATGTTGCTTAGTTTCCCTTCCTGTCTGTCTTCCCCATGTGTGTGTGTGTGTGTGTGTGTGTGTGTGTGTGTGTGTGTGTGTGTGGAGGTTGACCCCTGATAGAATCCACCACTCAGGAGTGGTCAGAACAAGGCCACACTCTCCTAGGGTCTGACTCATTAATATAACCAAAGAAACGCTCTGTTTCCAGACAGGGGCATATTTGCAGGTACAGAGGTTTAGACTTCAGTGCATATTTGGGGGGAACATAGCGATCCCGCATTTAATAGATGTGAAAACAAAGGCTTAGAAAGAGGAATTAATTTGTCCAGAATGCCCCTTAGAAGCCAGAAAGGCGAGGCTTTGTCTCAGGTACTTGGGGCATGTTGTCAGCAGGGACCAATCCCTGAAGAAGGACACATGCTTGGTAAAGTGGAGGGCCATCAAAGACCGTCAGTGAGATGGACGGTAAAGTGGAGGGTCATCAAAGACCCTCAGCGAGGTGGACTGACATGGTGACAGAAGACTCAAACCCAGCAAAGATGGAGAGGGGGGCACAGGACCAGACAGGATTCATCCTGCTGTTCATGGGTTGCTATAGTTGGATCCCTCTCTACAGCACTTCACAACGTAACAACAACAACAGTTGACCTGCCAAAGGTTCCGTGTGAAGTAAATGCTGTGGCCAGCTTCTGGCTTGGATCTCTGGCTCTAAGTTAGCTCAGTTTGAGCAGATCTTAAGAAATCTGTCCCGTCCCTCAGAGGATGGGCAACTTCTGTGGTGACAGTATCTAAAAGTGACTTTGAACTTACCATTCACACTGTCTCCTAGTGATTAACTGAAAATAACCAGGCACTAGGTGAAGGAGACACTGACTGTCCCCTTCGGTTGTAGGATAGACAAGACAGCAAGTGTCTGACGAGGGTTAGCTGGAATTGGGAATGGTGGACAGGCTTCTGACATGTTCCAGCTGGAACTGAGAAGGGTGGCCAGGCTCCTGTGCATGGCAGCAGTACCCAGATGTTTGCAGGGTGAGGAGAATTGATGGACAAGCAGCTATGATTGTAATGATTGTTGTCAGCTGCCATCGAGTCCCAGACTCATAGTGATCCCCTCCACCGTGAGATTGGACCATTGCATTCCTACAGTTTTCACTGGCTGATTTGCAACTAGATCTCCAAGTCTTTCTTCCTAGTCTCTCTCTGTCTGGAAGCTCCACAGAGGCCTCCACTGAATCACAGCAACACCCCCAACTCCACTGACAGACAGGTGGTGGCCATCCATGAGGTGCCTGGGCCTGGATTCGAACCCTATTTCCTCCATGGAAGGCAAGAACACCACCACCGAGCCACCTTTGCCCTCCACAGTGAAGGTGGACTTGCATAAACGGGTACACACCGTTCAACTGAGCCACCCCTTCCCACCCCCAGCCCCAAATCATTAGCATGC